GTTCTCCTGGGTCTGGATAGATTCCAGGCCTTTCTTTGGCCACTAGGCTCACTCCCTGGGCATAGACTCTGCCTGCTACCTCTTCTTATACATGGGACCCAACAGTCCAGCTGCCCTAGCCCCAAGACCAGTATCGAACCCATCCCAATACACTCCAGCAGCTTAAGCATATCCTCCCCCAGAGCTCCACCCTCATGGGTACATTAATTATAGTTTAACCCTTGAGGAACATGTAATATTTGAAGCAAACAGACACAATCTTTGCAGATGGATTTCTAAAACAAAGCACACTTTACTCATAGACAGCACAAAAGATATACAGATTTAGGTAAAATAGTAAATCATCTGTAAACTATGTGATGGAAGAATATGGAAAAGACCCCCATACCAGCCTAATGCAGTATTGCCAATGTTTGTGAGTTTTGTGCAAGTGACAGGATTTCAGAGATGTCTGGAGCTCATCTTGTAATGATGCAAGAAGCTCCAGTCCCCTCACAGCCTCACCAGAAGCCAGCAGAGTCTCTCCTCTCCGCTTGCCATGCTCACAGGGGAAGGAGGGAGCAAAGAGCTCCACAGCTCAGTGCAACACTGCTTCCTCATCCCCCCCCTCGTACTGTCAGAAAAATGGACAGGGCATCATTTCTGCTCCTCCTTCTCCCCTTGTAGCACCTGGCCCAGGAAGGGACAGAAGGGGGTGAAAAGCCCCTGGAGCTTACACCTCATAGCATGACAGGAGCTGGGACCTGGATGGGAGAGAGAGTGAAGAACCCCAGGAGGAGTAGAGCACACTGTGGGAGACTGAACATGAGGGATGAGGCGGAATTGATGGGGACTGGGTGGGGACAGAACTGATAAAAATGGCTGGGGACAAGATTAACTGCTAGCCAGGGGACGACCAGATGTTGCGGTGAGAGCTCCTGACCAGAGGGTCCACATCATCTTATCTAATACATTTGGGATTGTGGGCAACACTAATTGTCGCACCCAGACTCAGAATGGGCTGGGGCAGTTCAATAGTCAAAAGGCACACTGAAAAAACACATCATCATCTTTTTTACACATCTCATGATTTTTTGGGCCAATCTCAAGATTTTTTTGGAGTCTGAATCATGATTCTGGGTTTGAATCACTGAGGTTGGCAATGCTGATAACCATACACAGAGTTCATAATATCAAATAGCATTCATAAGCTGTACATAGATTGCCATATCACCACAGGTGCCTACTCAGACAAAACTCCTATTGACTTCAATGGAAGTTATGTTGAAGGACTATGGGATTTCACTGTGCACTGATATATTTCATTCAGGGCAGAATCTGAGGGCTGCAGACTTTCCAGATTTAATTTAAGAACACGAGCCAGTAAATTACCATTGCAAAACACACTGTTTGTTCTACTTTCCCATGTGACAATCTTGAACACATTTGTTATTTTAATCAAATTGGCAGAGATAAAATGGGGTATAAAGGACAGAGTGCAGAAACTAGTGCTGTGGCTCACACTACTTCATCCAGCTGTTATAAAATGCAAGCCATTCCTATTCTCCTTTTGGTTGGCTTAACCTATGTCTCCCCAGTCTTTGGTAAAAGAGAAATCAGCGCTAATGGCACTTTCTCAAACAGAAAGTATTACAGCTCAATAAATGTCAGTAATGGAGGACCTTGGGGCACTTGGACATGGATTGATTTGTGCCCAGAACATTTCTATGCTATGGGATATAGTGTAAAGGTAACTGAACCTGATTACTTTATCCATACCCTTGTCAGAGCAATAGGTTCCTATCCTGTTAATGATCTTACTGTATTTCTGTATATTTTAGATGGAGGAGTATGGAGGAGCTAGTGATGACACTGCACTAAATGGGATCCGTTTATTTTGCATAAAAATCAACAATACGAGTAGTGCTGTCTATACCGTTGAATCTGATTCTGGAAAGTAAGTTTAATGGTACTTCAACCTTTTATATTTTGTTTGATCTATAGTAAACCAGATGAGGAGGAACCTGAGAACTTGTAACACTGTCAACCAGAGAGCAGCCTGTTATTGCCTCCAGGTTGTTCTTTTTAAGTTTTTATGCTGGGAATATAATTGTTTACCACTACCGAGGAAGCGGCCAAGTTATCGTCTATGTAACACCAGTATAGCCCAATGAATTTGGCTCAATGTATTCATTATGCATGATTTGCAAAATTCAGAGAAAAAAGGCTACAATTTAAATAGCAGACATTGCTTGTATTGTGTTTGAATTATTACCTTTTGCCCCAGGCGCAGTTTGGATGGTCTTTAAAGTTAAAACTGACACTTCATCCTCACTTGAATATTTGGCCTTTACGATTTTCTTATAACAACTTGTGTTATAGGGACACAGTCAATCTGGAATCTAGTCACTTTAAAAATAACTTAAAAGTAATTCCAGGTACTTTACCTGCTCCTGAGGCCAAAATGTTGGCAATCACATTTCCCTGATTTTATATATATATGTATATATATATTTTTTTCCCCACTTTGTTGTGTAGAAGTTCTGCCCAGGCAAGGGAAACTAAGTAACTAAGCCCTGACACTGCAATCAGATCTACTAGTGTAGACCCTTCCACCCCATTGGGGCACTGCATAAGTGGAGGGGTCCAGCTAATAGATCTGATTACAGGATCAGGACCTGGCTGACTTCAGAGGGGAAACAGTGAATGTGACTATACACAGAGTTCTGCCAAATACACAAAGGAAAAGAAACAGGAAAAAAAAAAAGAGAGAAAAATTTCACCTTCATTTTTCAGTTACAATAGTCTTTGACATTACTTGTAACGGTAATAGGGAAATGTTCAGACAGAAATGTGATTATTTTTAAGTTGATGATGTCCCCTTAAGGGCCAAGTTATCAGTTTCAACTTTGAATGCCTCAGTTTGTATCAATGTCTTTATGTAATGTAAAGTGTTTGTTTTTTAAATGTAATTTGTGTATCAAAGGATCTGTGGGTTACTGATACATAATGCTCAGCCATTTATTGGGTTTATATTACCTGATTTTAGGAACTGCCAACGTCCATCTAGTGTGCAGTATCTTCTCCCCTACAGTGGCCAGCACTAGGTGCTTCAGAAGACATGCAGTGATCCTTCAGTAGGCAGATGGGAGAATGCCCCCTGCATAGGTCTAATCCTGGTTTCTGACCATTAGAGATTGGCCTGAGTCTTGAAGCACAAGGTTTAATATCCCTTCCAAAATGTTTGTTGACATTAATTATGAACACTCTAGATATTCTTAATATTCATGTAAATATCAAAGTTTTAAAGTGTGGACATAACATAAATCCAGATTTTGAAGTATGGGTATAATTTTTTTCCAGCCACACGCTTACAATTATTGCAGGCAACAAAGAGTAAACTCCAAGCTATTTTTAATGGATATTAAGAAACATATTCTCCTCTTACTTCCATTGATGTGAATGGATTTACTTTAAGGCTTTTTTCTGGTGTGCATATATCTACAGTGAATCTTGCTTTCTCAGGTTTTCTTGAGTTTGACACATTCACTGTGAACAGGACATTCACATTTCTTCAGTTTTGTTCCAACTTTTTCCTGCCCTCAAACAGGAAAAGCTCCTTGCTGCTTTGTGATAAGTTCAACCTGCCGTCATTGTGCTGTCACTTTATTTTTGGAATGTAAGCTCTGGGTTGAAGGAATGGTATCCGCTGTGTATTCTGCAGAGTCCAAACACAGCTGGTGTTCAACACATAATAAATAATACATTCAAAATAATTCAGAAAAATCTGGCATACTTCCCATTTTAAAAATGGATCAGACTTGATTAAAATAACATTTCACTGGCTTTTATGCAACAAGTAGAGAAAAATATATTTAAATTGTCTTTCTCCCCGTAGGTTTGGGCAATGGTCAGGAATCACTTGGTGTCCAACAGGGTTCCTAACAGCCTTTCAGCTGAAAGTTGAAGTTCCACAAGGAATTTTAGATGATACAGCTGCTAACAGTATCAAATTCCGCTGTAGCAGTGGTGCTATCATAGAAGGAACAGGCGGTAGCTTTGGTGATTATGGTGGATGGAGTAATGCCTGCACAAGAGGTGGAATTTGTGGCATTGAAACCAAACAGGACCCATACCATAATGCTTTTATTGATGACACAGCGCTCAATGATGTTCGTTTCTTCTGTTGTGACTGATTTCTATTGTTGAATGTTATTTTCTGGGATTTCCCAAAGGCTGACACCTGGCTTGTTCTGAGCAGAACATTCTGTTATTTTCAGCCTTGTGCCAAGCCCCACTGCAAAGTCAATTTGCTCTAAATCTTAGTAAAAGTAACATTCTCTGTCTCTTTTTAAAAAGTCAGCAATAAATTAGGTTTCAATAGCGATGCGCTGCTCCCTTAATGACTGTATGAAAGCTGTGATTTATTGATATGGAAATGAATTGTGAGCCAATCTAAAGGAAAGCCAGGTAGTTAGGAAAAGGCTCCATCCTGCAATCACCTCTCTGTCTTGCCAAGCTTCTCCCCCTCCTATTTTGGAAGCACCTGAAGGTGTCAGCCCTATTTGATTTCATTCCTAATTTAAGGACTCCAGATAAAGTGTTCATGCAAGTCAGACTGTCTGAGACAGGCAGCCTGACACTATATTCCTCATATTATAATAATTGCCATTAACTTCAGTGGGAGACTTGAGGTCAGAAGGGATGCACGATCACGTTCCCAGTAAAAGAACCTTGATGAGTTACTTTTGAGGATCAACTACGAGACCCATGGTGAGTAAGGGGCTATAGGAATCCTCTGGTGTAGAGTCAACAATGTCAACGCTCTTATTCTTTAAAGTAGCTAGCAGCAGATGTAGGAAAAGGAAGCAGACACCAATATGCTCTTCTTATGTAGCTATAAAGTCTTGTGCAGCTGAAGTCCTTTCATTTTCTTCTTTCAAGTTTTACAACTTGAGTGATACTTTGCTTTAGTACATTAATTCATCTCAATGTTTTATTAGCCAAAATTGAATGCCTCCAATAAATGTCAAAATACATGTTGTTTGCGAGTTTTTTTTTCTCCTAAATCTTTTGTATTCTGCTCTTGTTGGGTGTGCTGAAGCCTACTAGTGGAAAGTTTGCTGACAAGGAGTTATTAAAACCCAAAGGAAACTAAAGCACGGAAATTGTACATCTATCCATTTCTTTGGAGTCATTGTCCCATCCAATTTAGATTGTGGATTAAGGCCGAGAGAGACAATGGGCCAAAGACAGAGTCTGATTGTACTCCCATTGACATCAATGAGAATTTTTAACAAGAACAAGATGTAACCCAATTCTGTGCTAATTCACACACACTGTGCAATCTCACTGAGTGGGGTATTTGGCTCAGTGTATTTGGAAAGGAATATATTAACTATTTCTTACAAAAGTAATTATGTTCTACTTTGATACATACAAAACCTACTTTGTTTTATATGGGTCAAGTGCACCGTACAGCTTGGCTAAACTCTCATCCTAACAAGGCGGACTTCCTTTGAGAGAGTTTCTAAAGTTTCACAAAGATTCATCTTCCTGTTTTCTTAGAAGTTTTAGAAGAGAGACCCTTTGGCAATTTGTCTTCCAAGTTTCCTTAAAAGGGCAAACTTCTTGTCTTCTGCAGCAGTACAGCTGCAGAGTCACTACTGATACTCACAGTACTTTTATTCTCTGGTTGAAGAGAACAAATAGTAATTTTTAGCTTGAGTTGGTTAAACCAGGAGCCTGCTGCAATTCCTTGAGCAAGACTTTCCAAGCAAGATCTTTCTATCTTTTCCTGAAGACCGTGGCAGACACACACAACTTTCTTCTGCATGCAGGAATCTGAGTGTCTTGAATCCCAAATGAAAGTGACCGTGAGGTTTGGAGACAGTCTTCACATAGACCTGTCAGTCATCTCTCATCTAGCACATGCGAGTGATCAAATCGCCACAGCTGATTCTCATTCTTGTTACATACATGTAAGGACAAGTCCTTCTCAGCTTCACTCTTCACTGCCTCTAGACATTTACCAGAAAGGATGTGGACAATCATTCCACCCTACAAAAAGACAAAAAAGGGGCAGAAGGAATGGAGAAAAAGTAAAGGACTTTCAATAAAGATCAGAATGTGTATTTTAAACTTCTAACAAAGAAATGCAATCAGTAGGGATCGGTGATTGTTTATTTGGAGTAGTACTTTAAATTTAATGATTACAGTAAAAGCCTTAGGTTCGATCCTGAAAGGTAGTGAGTACCCATAATTCCTATTGAGCCAATGGGAGTTGTACATACTCAGCACCTATTAAGATTAGCCCATCCCCCAATGCCTTCTGCTTTTTAGAGGGTAAATGTTGTCCCCAGCATAAATTGCTGGGCTATGTCATGCCAAGATTAACTTAGTCCAATGCTGGGGAAAATGAATCCTCCCCTTGGGAAGTAGAGTGGTAGCAGGACTGCCCCATAACTGCAACTATAATAGACTCAGAGCTGTAGTACCCGTGTGACTGCCGTGCACCTGTTCTGTGTGTGGAATAACTGGAAGTTCATCGAGTCAGAGTTTAAGGCCAGGAGGGACCACCAGATTATCTAGTCTGACCTTGTGTATATCCCAGGCCACCAACATCACCCAGCATCTGCACAGTAAACCCAACAACTGAAATTAGATCAAAGTATTACAGTCCACAGAGGACTAGACTATGATGTGCCACTGGTAGGGTTACCATATTTTAAAAAACAAAAAGAGGACACTCCACGGGGCCCCGCCCCCCAACTCCGCCCCTTCCCTCCGTGCCAGCCCCACCCCAACTCCGTCCCTTCCCGGCCCAGCCCCACCCCAACTCTGCCTCTTCCCCAAAGTCCCCTCCCCTGAACGCTCCGCCCCCCTACTCCTCCCCCTCCCCTGCTTTCCACGAATCAAATGTTCGTGGGAAGCCTGAAACAGGCTGGGGCTGGGGGGTGCGAGGAGGCGCGGCCCAGTCCAGCCCCCCAGGCTGAGTGGCTCTGGCCCCGGCGTCTCCGGCCCGGCTCGGCTCCTGGGGCGCCGGCCTCGGTTCCAGCCAAGTAGCTCTGGCCCACCCCGGCCCCGACGGCTCCGGCCCCGGTGACTCCAGCTCGGCTCGGGCCCCGGGGCACCGGCCCTGGCTGAGCAGCACCGGCCGGCGGCCGAGCACCCACAACCCCAGTCCCAGCGGCTCCGGCCTGGCTCGGCTTGGGCCCCGGTTCCGGCTGAGCGGCTCCAGGCTGGCCCTGGCCGAGCACCCCCAGTCTCGGTCCCAGCGTCTCCGGCCCGGCTCCGCTTGGGCCCCAGTTCCGGCCAAGCGGCTCCGGCCCGGCCCCGGCCCTGGGTGAGCAGCCCCGGCCCCGGCCCTGGGCGAGCGGCGCCAGCCAAGCGCCCCCGGTCCCAGCAGCTCCGGCCCGGCTCCACTCGGGCCCCGGTTCCAGTCGAGCGGCTCCAGCCCGGCCCCGGCCCTGGGCGAGCGGCGCCGGCCGAGCACCCCCGGTCCCAGCGGCTCCAGCCCGGCTCCACTTGGGCCCCGGTTCTGGCCAAGCGGCTCTGGCCCGGCCCAGCCCTGGCCGAGCAGCGCCAGCCCCAGCGGCTCCGGCTCCGGCCCCAGTGGCTCCAGCCCAGATCCAAGCCCCACGACCCCTCCCTATTTTCCCAGACATGCCCGGCTTTTTGGAATTTCCTCCCAGACGGGGATTTGAGGACCAAAAAGCTGGACATGTCCGGGAAAATCCGGATATATGGTAACCCTAGCCACTGGGAGAGAACAGGCGGGAACGACATGCATCAGTGCCCGAGGCTCCTGTAATGGCAGGGAAATGATTAGGTGATATACACCCAGATAATCCTGGTAAGTGACTCTCATCCACATGCTGCAGAAGAAGGTGAAAAACCCCCAAGGTCACCACCAATCTGACCTGGGGGAAATTCCTTCCCGACTCCACACATGGTGATCAGTTAGACCTTGAGCACATGAGCAGGAAGCAGCCAGCCAAGCACCCGAGACAGAGAATGCTTGATGCCACCTCAGAGCCCTCTCCCACCCTGTCCAGTGTTCAATCTCCAGCCATGGGCATCTCTGATGTTTCACAGGAAGGAGACAAAAAAACAGAAACAGAATACATTGGCAGCGGTGGGGGAATCCCTTCCTGATCCCTGCAGGTAGCTGTCTGAAGCCTAGACGCATGAGCTTCTAAGAACATAAGACATAAACCGGTGAGTCCCAGGGCTGCTGAGCCCTGCCCCCTACCATGACAAGCAACCCATTTTACAATCCCACTCATAAATCTGTCCAGATCTCTTTTAACACTTTGTTCTATATATTGTCCTGGAACCTTACAATTTCCCGTGCTGCAGATAATTTCCTACCTTGCTGGGTGAATTCCACTGAATAATATTGAATTCTTATAGAAGGAGATACTCCTATACAGCAGTAGAGGGGGAATTTTAAGGACCCACCCTACTCCCAAAAGAGATCCAATTCAAGACAAGCAAGGAGCTAACCCCTTCTTCATGTGCTCCCAGAATCTGGGTCCTCTCGCACCTGTCCCAGCCTGCGTAGCAGGACTGTACGTGTTCCTTTGCTGTAAGGGTCCTTTGTGCCTACAGAAGTGGGGTAGGGTTTGCCCTTAGGTTAATTTCATAATCACTGGTTCATATATTCCAGGATCCCCTATAAAATAAATAGGTTAGTCTAGTACAGCAAAAATCTAGAGCATGAGGTTCTATAGAATGGTTGCTTTAACTCTTTTTCTTAACCAAATTTGTATAACGAAGTTGGTGTGAATAAGACAAATAGCTTCACAGTACCTTGGATGCAAACTGTGATGCAGTGAAACAACATTCTAAAACTTCTGGTAACCCCTTCCTGACAACTTTTGGACTGTTTTCAGTTAGCCTAGCTTCATGACAAAATCACTACACACCTCCTGGACATCCCATTGTTGCTGGTTATTTTCTGTCTCTTGTGTACAGTTTTGAAGGATAACCTTCTCATGTCTGACATCAAAGCAAAACTGCAGAGCGGAACCAAACCGGATTTCCTTCATACTGTTATATTCAAAATGCTAGAAAAGGAAGGGTTTGTTTGCATTAATAAAGCTGAAGAACATTCCAATTCATTTTTAGTTGCTAATATCCAAAATCATTTCCTGTCTGTTAACATAAAATTCCAAGATGAATGAAGGAGACACAATAGGCCTGATTCTGCAAACCTATCCTCTTAAAAGTAGTCCTTGCACGACTACTTTCCTGGGACTATTTCCATAAGTAAAGATTTTTAGGATTGGATAATATGTATAAAATAGATGCAGAATATAACATTTGTAGGCAATATTTTTTTTAAAATGTACTCTGGCTGGTGGGACATTCCCAGACATCAGAATATGGGAAAAATCCATCTCAGTTATTCTACAGTTGATAGATTTCTGCCCTAAACTTCCTAGTCTTCCATTCCATGCTACTGAAAATAATAAATAATCACTTTGTACTCATAGGCCCAATCCGCATGTGCTGGACAGTTTCAACTACCACTGAGTTCATTCTCAGCATTCAAAAAGAGAAATGAATTTAAAAGTTCAGGGGGAAAACATCTATCTTTGAGTCAATCAGGAAGCAGAACTTTTGCAAACCAATCAGGACGCAAATATTTGCATATACAATCTAAGGTCCTGGTCTTATATTTCTTGAACTTCCAAAACTTCCCCTATCTTTAATGGGAGTTTTGGATGTACACCTCTACCCCGATATAACACGAATTCAGAGATAACGCGGTAAAGCAGCGCTCGGGGGGAGGGAGGGTTGCGCACTCCGGTGGATCAAAGCAAGTTCGATATAATGCAGTTTCACCTATAACGCGGTAAGATTTTTTGGCTCCCGAGGACAGCGTTCTATCGGGGTAGAGGTGTATAAGGATCAGAGCATAGAGTTCTAATTGTTTAATATTATTCCAGAACTCAGTGTTGTTGACTGACCTCTATGGAGATAAAAAGTAAAAACCTCATTTTTAGCTTGATGTAAACCAGGCTTTCATTTTTGCATCCACAAATCTCTGGACTGAAACACTTTAGTTAATGTAGATGTCTGTGTGTGCCTGCAGATCAAATACTTAAATATCTAAATGACCTAAAAAGTACAAACAATTTCAGGTGAAAAACAGTAGCCAGCTTTAAATATCTGTCATGGAAAACGAACAGACATATCCTAGGTGTGTTGCTGGTTAAATTACACTTTGCATATTAGATGGTTGAAGGAGAAATCATTTTTAAAAGAGGGGCAGAATACAGTAAAGCTGTCACAATGCTGGTTGGATTTTCATTAGACAAAGACTGCTTACTGAGATTTCATTTGAATGAATGAATGTTTTTACTGTATTGTAAATCATTGCTTTAAATTATTGTACTGTCAAGCAATGTGCTAAGTAACCATTCTATTATATTAACTAAAATATGACTTTTCCCTTTCTTAAGTTTCCAAAAACTGATTGAAAAAATAACAGTCAAGATCATGAAAATCTTGACATTTGCCACTTGCAATAATTCAATATACTGCAGTATTTGTTGTGTGTCAGTCCAGTCATATACATTTCTCATTTTTAGTATAGGGAATACTGAAAATATCAGGGGGGAAATTGTGTGGTGAATCTCAATATTTTAATAGCGTCCAGTGCAGATGAACTAATTCCCAAATGGAAAAAAAAACATATTTTTTGGATGGGACAAAATCAGCAAGACATATTGTTGCAGTAATTTAGCTGCTCATCATTTAGCCTCTGATTCAAGAAAGTACATAAGCATGTGTTTAACTTGAAAGCACATGAGTACTCTTATTGAAGGCAGTGCTTAAAGTTAGTTAGAGACCAGCTTAAATACCTTCCTGTATCTGGGCCTTAAATTTGATGCCAGTACACATAAGCCTTAAATATACAATACCTGGTTAATTTTGTCACTACAAGGAGACAGCTCAATAAGACCTTCTGCAGCATCCCAGGCAGATCTGTAATCTGCACAGAAGCCAACACCAGTGTTGTACAGCTGCAAATAAATATTTATACTGAAATAAAGTACAATCAGTTAAAAAGGAAATGTTTTTAATTAACTTTTAATGTTGCTTGGGTTGTATCCTTTTTATTGTACATGCTTTGGCTAATTATTCAGTAGGTAGAATCCTTTCACTCACAGGCAAGATCAAATGGACTCGCATATTGAGCGAAACTGAGCCTTGTCAGTAGAGTGACACGAGATCATGCTATTTGGCAAAGTTAAAGTTAAACCTTCAGTTTATAATTAGTTGAACTGGTTGAACCTTTTCCAACCATTTTTTATGGAAAATTGGGATTTTGAGAAAATGGAAATTTTTGCAGAAACTTTCTGTATTCCCTGAAAATGTTTGATGTTTTTGTCAGAAAAACTGAACACCCAAAACTCTCCAAATGTTTGGTTTTGGGTGTTCAGTTTTCAACAGACGGTCACAATTTTCCACACAAAAACCTATTTTCTGATGAGCTCTAATAATTGCCCTGTTTGTGTATACGGTACTGAATTTAATACAATAGTCACAAGAATGTTTTCAGTATAATGACCATTACTACATATGCTGGTATGTTATGACAACGTGGAATTATATATCATGCTATACAATATCAGGATAACTAGTAGTATATTACATTACAGTTTCTGAATCTATCAAGCGGAATGCTAGGGCTACGTCTACTCTCTGAGCTCAGGATGAGATCCCCTGCTCATGTACCATACTCGGTCTCACTCTCGTTGAGGCACAGCTAAGCCTTTTCACATTGGGTCAAATTCTGAGATCCTTACACAGTACTTACTCTTTTCTTGGGCAAATTCTCCTTAATGTCAATAGGAACTTTCCTGAGAAAGAACTGAATAGAAACTAAGAGTTTCAGGATTTGGCTCATAAAACAGTTTTACTAAATGTGTGTTTTAATAAGGTATAATTATTAAATGTGAAATCCTATAATTTTTGGGGAGGCAGCATGAGCTAGGGAATAGGGCACTGGACTGGGAGTCAGGAGAAGTGGGTTCAGTTCCTGAGTTAGTACTTGTTGTGTGATATTGGGCAAGTCACTTTACTTCTCTGTGCCTTTGTTTTCCCTCCAATTCTTTATCTGCCTTGTCTATTTAGATTGTAAACTGTCCAGGGCAGGGACTGTCTCTTACTATATGTTTGTACAGCACCTAGCACAATGGGATTCTGATCTCGGTTGGGGGTCTCTAGGTACTCCAGTAATACAAATAATAATAATAATTTCCCTCTTACCTTGCCAGAGAATCTTGGTTTGTACTCTGGTGGGTGGAGTTCGGGGTATACGTTTGATATAAACCAATGAAATTTTCTACAGCCCAGTCGCTTTTGCAGCTGAAGGCGCTCGTTGCAATCTGGCTTCTCAGCCTTATATGAGAAAGCATATGGCAATTGAATGGATAGGAAACAAGTACTAATATATTTGTTTTTGAGAAGCTGGAAAAGAAATATACTGCCCAGGGAGGGCTCAGTTCTGCCACCCCTTATGTACAACAAGTTACAATTAGTGTCGTGTCTCTCGTTTGCATTACCACTAAAATAACATTTAGTCTGGGGCGGGAAGGGGATTGAGCATCTCAAAGATGAGACATGGGGTGGGAATAAGGATTTTCATCATCCATAACAAGTGTCATTATCTTGCAAAATCAATAATTCTTTACCCTCTTTTTAACAAAAAACAAATTCTACACTAACTGCACTGAAACCAATGGGGCTGTAAGAATTTGGCTTATTGATTGCCATTTAATGCCCTGGCTTTAACAGACCAAAATCTGCTCTTATTTACATTCCCTTTGCAGTGTGGATAAATGAGCCTAGAAGTTGGTCTAACATATGCAGTAATGCTGATTAAATTATATATATAAGCAATTGATTTGATTATTTTCCCCATCAATTGCTCATCATATTATGTGAATAATTTGTTTCTGCAGATGCTGTATGGGGCAGGAACCATCATTTTGTTCTGTGTTTGTACAGGGCTCAGCACAATGGCGTCCTGGTCTAAATACTTTTCAAAGTCTGACCCCCCGCAGTTCTTAGCAATCTATTGCACCCTTCTGGCCAGTGATTTACTTATTTCTTCAGATTTTTAAAATTCAGCTCTTGGCACCCACCTGTTGCTTTGAGTGCCTATGTCATACACTAAAAATTGCAACATAAACAAAGGACTACCCATAAATATATCCCCCTCAGGCCACCCACTCCTCGATCGCCTTCGGGAAGAGAGAAAGATACGAGCTTTGCAGCCTGTCCAGAAAGCTTACAAGACTGGGTTCTGGCAGACCAAGTAAAGGAGTAAGTTCCAAAACCAAGGACTCCTCGTGGAGAATATGCTGCTAGCAGCTCCCTGTCATTTATACTGAGGGAGCTCCAACCTGAATGCCTCTGCTAATCCCATCTGTATCAGTAAATCACAGGGGATTTGTCTCATTAATACCAGTCCAGCAACTCAAATCACTAACTCAAAAGTATCAAGGTCACTCAGACCCATCACTCAGGAGATCTCCAGTGAATCACAGAAATCAACCAGGAGTAAAATTTGTCTGTGGATTCCTTAAAATGGGACAGTACACATGGGAATTACTGGGGTCTAGGAAGCAGATGTCAGCTGGTGTCATTTTGTCATATTAATTACAGTTTAGATTTGGTGCTGGAGGCAGGAGAATACTGTGAAGCAGGTCAGTCTCTAGCCAAAACAATCTGAGATGAAATTGTGGCTATAAGTTTAACCTGGTTTAAAGAAACAAAATAAGCTAAAAAATTGAAAGTGAAAAGATTTATTCATCAATACTAATGTTCATGCCATAGATATCCTGGGCAGAATACAGTTCAGACCCAGAAAAAATAAATTCTGAATGGAAAAAAATGTATAAAGCAATCTAAATTGGGGTTACATTTTTTTAAAATTACCTAGTAGGAGTCAATGTTCAGCTAATATTGCCTGGATTTTTCGAGGGCCAGTAGATGGCCCTATTTACCGTATCAATTCAACAAATCACTCAGGGACAAGACTATTATGATGATTGCAAGTAAATGCACTGCAAATTATTTCATTCATTGCCTGTATGGATTAAAACACCATGCTATACTAGCACAAAAATACTGTATGTGCAAGAAGGTAATAGATTAACTTACAAACTGTTAGGCTGAAAAATCTACCATTGTTCCTTATCCAGCCTCCCTTGCACCTTCATTGTCACTGTTACATATATTGAACTTGCACTTCTGTACTTTGGCACAAACATATCACCATGTTGCCCTCTGATTTTATTTCAGAGACCGTTTCTCAGGCCTTTTCCTCATCAATTCCCCCCCCCCCCGTTTTAACTGGTTATTTATGTTAGCTGACCATGAATATCATTTGAGAGTATTTCATATTTGTGAGGTAATAACAGTAACCTGGACAAAATAAACGCTGAGGCCAAAGGCAAAGGTTTTGATAGCAAATAAACTTCAACACTGAAATCCGAAGGGTTTACTAGCTCAGGATAAAGTTATTACCTAGTTAACAAGAAGCGCCTTCAGTTAATTATTAAGTAAAATAAGAAACCAGTCATTGATCTCTGCCAGCCTGGGCTCACATTCTCCTCTCAGTTACACTGCTAGCTCATTGACTCAAAGAAACTGCAGGGATATAAATTAGATGCCAATTTGGCCAATGGGGTTCAAGTCCTGCAATTTAAGTAACAAGAGAAAAATCAGATGAAAAAAATTAGTTTGATGCAGTCTCAAACTTGTCATAAAATTTAGCATGATTGGGCAACTCAGGACTGCAGCAACTGGGGTTTGGCAGGTCAGGATTGAAATGCAGTGCCAAAATTGTTTGAGGAAACCCATACAGTGCTAAGTGCCAACCCACGCACTGCCTAGCTGTAGCATTCTCATCAGTCTTCAGTTTTGTAAGCACAGCATTTTTAAATTAATGACATCTCTCCTTTACTGAGTCTACTTTTTCACCTGCTTGCTAAAACTGCTCAAACTTGTGACCTACCAGTGAGTGGAAAAGGTTGCTGGTATAATGAAATGTACCAAAGCCAAAGAAATAGGGCAAGCAGCAGCATTGTCAACAACTCTGCTGTTTAGAGATTTTAAGGCATATTTCAGTCACAGTGCTGAATCCAAACAGCCACCAGCTACGCTATGGTTGTGGAGCATGCTGAGTCACTCCAGGAGGATTTGTGAGTAGTGATGCTTTGCCAATCTGGTTCCACACGCTAACTGTAAGACAGAATGGCAGCTGGTATCCAATCCTCTTTTCAACGCATCCTTATGACTCCTCAAATGAAAATCTAATTGATGTATAGTGGTTGGGGTGTCTGTTGCTCTTAGAACTTTTCTGTGTGCTTCACTCTATTTTGTGAGAATACAGCCAATTTCTTCTGGACAACCATGAGCTAAACAAGATGTCACCTTTTCAGTGAGTGTTATACCTTAATAAACACTTTCCTAAATCTAGTGCACTGGGTGTCTGTTTCTCTGCAGACAAAATTATTTCCTCTGGAAGTGGCTAAACAATAGGTGGGACGTTAACAGACAGCATTAATCAGCTACGAAAAGAAAAATTCTCTCTCCTCCCCTTCCCCAAATGGTAAGGATTTACTTTACTCCTTCCTGAGATGGACCATCACTTATGTCTTTACTTTACTAATTAGGAATGCCGCTGTGTCATGCTTGTAGAAAATCTCTTTAAAAGAATCCAGCCAGGTCTCTGCTATTCGGATTTTGTTCCTCACTGCAGCCTCTTCGTTGGGAAAAGTGTGCGGGATACGATTTCGATAAATGTGCCCCACCCGTGAGCATGGAAGGATTTCAACAGAACCACCACAGAGCCATGCCTGTAACACAGATGAAGACAAAAAGAGTTCTAACATGGTGTATCCGCTATGCAGGCAGTACATCGCTATCAACACCATTTAGCAAATGGTAAGTTACCTAGGTGTGCAAAAGAAGGTGAAATAGACACTGACACAAGTAAAAAATCTGTTCTGGACAGTAGCCTTGTGGGTTCATTTTATCTGATAGCAATACTGATGGGGTCAAATTATGGGTGCCCCAAGGAGGAGGCCATCAGAAGGAGGAGGAAGTCCATTCTCCCAGTACACCCATGAAGGAGGCAGCTATAATTTGGCTGCTTGTGTTCTGAGGCTTTATCTAGACTAGGATTTGGAAGGTGTTAGCTAACATGTATTAACAGCCTAGTGTAGACAAGGCAGCGTGTCTTTAACATATGTTTAACTTGTTGATTTACTCGAGCCTTTAACATTAAACGTTAAACGTGTTAAAGACACACTGCTTTGTCCATTTCGGTTGTTAAGATTCTGCAACTAACACTTTCCAAATACTACATATATGATAGGGTTCATTTGCAAAATGCAGCTTTCAGAAGGTGCTAAAAATATTATCCTTTCATGAGGTGAGGGTCAGCCGGTGAGACTTTGTTTTGATGACATACTGCTTCTAACTTAGTGGTTCTGTGTGTTGTCACTTGACATCTTGCTGGAGAACTCTAGGGGTAGGTTTCTGTGAGAAAACAGAAATTTCTCTCCACCTGATGCAGTTTTATACTCAGTTTTTATTTTCTAAGTTGCCTCTGGGCTCTTAAATATTGTTCTCTTCAACACACAATAGTTACTTGACGTTTCTATTCAGATTCTTACCCTTATGGATAATTCTAGGTTTTCTGCCCCCCATAGAGTCATGTCGGAATCATAAGCGCCAATATTTTGGAAGTAATGTCGGTCCATTGCCACTACTCCACCAGGCACCACAGGACTTCTAGACAAAGCACAGTTTAAAAGTGAATCTTGCTGCAATTTAGGATGGAGAGTTAAACAGAGAATGAGATTTACTCTGATCATGGAGAGGTCTCTATAAAACAATGTTTGATCCTGTGGTGGGCCTTACAATCACTGAGAGGGTGGCAGGGGAATTTTAAAGTGTGAACTGTGTTTCTAGTTTAAAAGGTGTGTGTGTGTGTTGCTTTCCACTTGATTTTGGGACTTTGCAGTGAGCCACTTTGCTGTTGGGAGAGAGATGGGGCTCAGGCTATTTCTCAGTGTAATTTATTTATTTTACAAATGTACACAACTGCTGTTTACTTTAAATGGAGATGGCCAAAACTACACTTGCAGACAAGACACTATGGTGTAAAGCTCTGCAGACAAGAAGCTGCTTCCTTCCCTCTGACCCTCTTGCTCTTAGCACCCTCTCTGTTTTTGAGTCCTGCCCTCAGTCTTCCCACCAAGGATACCCTTTACCCTAGATTTTAGGGCTTACCTACAATTTTCCCATGTTTGAACATGGTTATGAAGACCTGAGTTAGCTGACCTGATGTTGGCCATAAGTTTGCGGTCAGCGTGGACCGGCCAAGCGATGTGCCTGGCATCGAGTCAACCAAACTGTGGAATCACTACAGGCTGCTGCTCCTTTGATCTCTCAATAGCTGAGTTCTGTCTCTCATGTTATTGCCTTATCTCTTCCAACATTCCTCAGCCCTCTGTGACCTCCAGTCCATTCATGTCCATGACTGCTCTTCTACACTCATTCCCTCCCCCCCCCCCACTTCTCCCTGCTCACTCCTCTTTCTCCACTGACTCTGTTGCTGAATCCCTTCTCTCCTCCACCGTTGACTCTTTTCTCCTTCTTGACCCCTATTGTAAACCTTTGTCCTACTAACCCCCAACCCTGGCTCACCTTAACCTCCAATTTGTCTGGTCTTGATCCGTGCCACTGAATGCCCCAGGAATCATTCTCATTGTTGCACAGACTTCTTCCACTATATATTTGTTCTCTCTCCCTTCATTTTGCCATTTTTCTTGCCAAACCAGCACTACACTGCCACCTTCACTGCATGACTCTGTCCTCCCCACATTCTCTGTCACTACTGAACAGACCACCATCCTCCCTGTCACTCAATAAACTGGGTCTGAACTTCAACTCCTCCCAGTTCGGACACTTCTAGGTGATATCCAAATCTTGCAGCCTTTTTCCCCCTGCACAATATTTCCAGGTTCTAATCTTTTTTCTCTGTTCACCCAGCTAAAACCTCCCCCAGATTTTTATCTCAATTACTTCAGACATCCTCATCACCTCCGCCAGGCCATAAAAATAGAACAGATAAGATGACCCTCACACGTTGATCTGATCACATCTCCCCATTTGAAGCCCTCCTCTGGCTCCCCCTTGTCTACCTCCATTAAGCTCAAACTTTTTGTGGCCGCCTTTACGGCTCTGCATAACTCTGCCACACTTTATTTCTCCCTGCCTGTCCCCCCTGCTCCACCTCAGTCATCTGCTTCTCTTACCGCAATTTCCACACTTTCTTCTACTCCATATGAAATCCTTTTGCTTTCAATTTGGAGTTAAGTGTCTAAGTATCCTTGAGGATCTGGGCCTAATTGAGTCCATCAACTATTAATCTATTTCATTTATCGCATGACTGACTTGTTCATCTCTATGGAGGGAGGGAAATAAGGAACTGAAGCTGGAAATTGGTACAGGAGAAAGAGGCAAGAGAGGAATTGTTGAGTGAGGGTCAAGGGATGGGGAAATTAGCATATTTTTAACTTATACACACAAACACAAAACATATCAACATGTAATTAATAAGCCATGTGACTATCATTATCCTAATAACTTTGTATGTGGCATCTTCCCCTCCCCCTCCTTTCTTTTCAGTTTGCATAGGTGCTAGAACTGGGGGTGCTGCCACACCCCCTGGCTTACAGTGATTTCTGTTATATACAGGGTTTACAATTTGGTTCAATGGTTCTCAGCACCCCCACTCTACAAATGGTTCCAGCATCCCAGTCAGATTGTACATTGTTTGGATCTGTGTCTGTTTCTGGAAAGCACATGCAATAACGTAGGCTCTATTGTAGTCTAATAATATTATGCATAAATTAAAACCTACTGGATATGTAAACTTAATGTAAACCAATAACCCTCTCCTCTCAAAAATTATGAGTCAAAAAACAATTATGAATGTAATCCTGTCTCTTCTCAATTAGCTGGAGGGTGTGTTAGATTTTGTGATTGTGATTTGATTCTGCGGACATGAGAGTAAGCATATTGGCTGATGAACTGTTACCTGATGGGGCTGATGGCAGACTGGCGTACCTTCTCTTCATGTTCTGGCAGCGGCTCCCAATGGAAATCTAATTTCCAATCAAAACCACCTCGTTGCAGATCCACAGAGTGATAATACTGAAAAGTCTTCCAGTCAATGACATCTAGGACAGGGGAGACGATTCGATTTCTGAAAAGAATTTATTTTCTTTTGAAAGCCAAGTTGGGGAATAAGTTGACAGTGTGTTAGTAAACCATTTGTTCTAGGATTTGACCCTGAAAGGTGCTGAGCACTCCTGTGAGGTACTGATTGCCCGCAACTCCTCTGCTGATGGGAGCTGAGTGTGCTCTGTCTATTGGAAGATTGAACCTATAGTGAGTACAGTAGGGGACACTAATTTATTAAGAATGTATAAATCACAGTCATTTCACTGTTAATTTGGGTCTTATTTTGGTTGCACTATAAAAATGTACAAACACAGAACCAAGAGATGTCCTTGCCTGGGTGGAAATGGGATTGATGATTATAATTGGAACAAGACACTCCCGCTTCACTTTGATGCTACTAGGTGAACACACTCTAGTCTATTGCTTCTAGGCTAAATATTCTTACATAGCTAGAACTGATAAACTAATTGTAACATAGTTTATTTTAGAATAAGATTTCATTTTTGAGTGAGAGAGATTAGGAAGGGAAGTATGAATGGGGAATTATTTAGAATAAAAAATTCAAAGATGCTTGACTAGGAAGGCCAGATTTTTATCTGATGTATAGTTGTGTAAATCTAGAACTGTGAGTTTTCAACCTTTATTCATTTTGAATGGAGGTGCGGACCTCTTTGGAAATTCAACCTGTGGTCTCTGGACCCCTACCATAGAAGTCTTAGACTGAAAACTGACTGAACAGAATTCAACTATAAGTGATGAACATGCTCAGCACAGCATTTGACACAGCAGGAGACAGGGCGCTAAACAGTGGGCTTCTCTAGTAATGACAATACTTCCAGGTTTTGACTTGTAGGTGGGGGTATTCACATACCCAATGATTGATCAGAAAAATGGAATGCCTTTTGGGGGATCTGAAATTTTATTTTCATAGTCACCTTTCCCGGACCTCTTAGACATAGTCTGTGGACCACCAGGGATCTCATACCACAGGTTAAATACCACTGATCTAGAATAACTGAACTGAAGTAAATATTGTCACTCTGTATTTACACTGGTATAACTGAGATAAAATTCTGGATCTAAGGGTCTGATATTAGCATAATTCTTCTACTATTATATTTTCCATTCATTTACATCTCATCCTTTCTGGATCTAGTTAGTTCTAGTTGCCAATATCAGAGCCCAATCCTCCAATAACACTTTTGACTTCAATGTGATTGTTTGTGACAATAAGCACTAAAACCAGTAGTGTTTTCAGGAGAGGGTTCTTTTTTTTTTAACTATATGTTGTTGTTTGTTTTTAAATATTGGACCCAGACCTTCAGTGCTATGCAAACAAAACTTCTGCACCACCTGGAATGGGCTCAGCCAATCAGAAAACCAGAACCAAACCAATCTCAACCACCAAGCCAGGTAAAAATGTGCTTCCAAAACAACCTAGTATTCTGAACATTTTGCACAATTTAGCCTACTCTCTTAATCTGTCAGAAGTAGAGTAAGTGAGGCTGTTTAAAATTTGTTCAGCAATGGAAAGATTGATATAAAACTAAAACAAGCAAGTTTTTTAAAAAGGGACTTTTGGATAAGCATTAAATAAAAAGTTTGCATGTGGAAAATTATGGAACTGAAGACAATTGATGATGACAACTCATTGGATATGCCATATTGCACCTTGCCTCAAATTCTTCAGTAAAAGAACCAGTAATCTGTTTTTCCAAATGAATTATATGCACTACAAACTGATATATGTGTTTTAAAAGTATTACTGTATAAATGATAACACACCTTCAGAATTCCATGCTTTACAGGGTTTTAAGATACCATTTAGAAATTTAAGAGTCAGATCCTTAGATGGTATAAATAAGTATAGCTCTATTGAAACTAGTGGAGCTGCACTAATTTACAGCAGCTTAAACTTCAAATTGTTAGAAGTTCTGATCATAAATAAGGAATCTAGCAGCTTTAATTTTAGTAAAACTAATCAACAGCCAATTCTTATTTTAATCAAGTGTTGGCTTATCTTTCTTGTGATATTAAAGTATCCTTTCTAAAACATCTGTTTTCTGCATGTTCAGTGGTGGATTTAGTGTTTGCATGGCTAGAAATGCACATTTTCAGCCAAAGGTAATTGAAAGTTGGAAGATGTTGCTTGTAATTTGTTTTGTTCTTAATACAGTAGCTGGCAGACAGTCAGCACCTTCTCGGAACTTTGAAATGAAATGTTCACACTGGCAGACAACTGCTAATTTTATTCCATGGAATCTGAAGAAGCAGGGGTGGAGGGGGGAGGAAGGAAACTCAAAAAGAACTGGCAACAATGCTTTGTCCAATGTGAGTGGGGCATTATTAATTTGTGACTATTTCAAATGCCTGGAGCACATGAGACCTACAAAAAAGCAAACAAACATAACTTCCTGTTTGGGGATTTCTAAACCAAATACAATTGCAAATGAAATGTTTTCCCATTACCCTTTACATAAGCTGTGGACATTGTGTTCTTTTCTTGTAAAAAAATATGAATAATAAGAGAAAAATAAGAATTAATTAACCAATCTGCTTAAAGTTTCATATACTGTAGACTGCTTTTAGAAGGGCTTTGTATTGATTTGTACCATGCTTTGCTGGGAAAGGAATAGATTGTTAAAATGAGCACAGGTAACGAAAACAACTGTACAAATGTTCCTATTGTCCTCAATTCACTCTCAGAGTGGATCTTTTCCTACAAAAATGAGATGGCTTGGGAATCCAAGCTACATGTAGACTCTCTTGCTCAGGCCCAAATTTGGGGCAAGCATCTGCCTTTGGGCACTGTCTGGGCACCTGCATTTCCACTGAAATCACCTTGCAGGATAAGCTCCCAAGAAAAATAACATTGCAGAAAGTTTTAAATGAGGTGGAGCTAATAGGATTAAAAGGAAGCTTCCACAAGCAGAAATGGCTAAGCAAGCACTTCAGCATGGGCTTAGCTTCAAACACATGAAAAGTCCCTTTGAAGTCAATGATTCTACTCACATACTTAAAGTTAAACATGTGCTTAAATGCTTTGCTAGACCAGGTCCTAAATCAATATTTGTTTTTAAAAATTCCAGAAAATCTATTCCCGCTGTGGCCTACAAGTCTCTTAGATCAACATTTTCAGGTTTGGGTACTAGATATCAAAATCCATATTAATCATTGCCTAAATCAGTGGCCTGATTTTCAGAGGTGCTGAGGTCAGTTGGGAGCTGTTTGGGTGCTCTGTACTTTTGAGAATCAGACCTCTTTTTCATGAATCGTGCCTAACTTTAGCCACTCATATTTGAAAATCTTAGCTTTCGACCTTAACTTCTCTGCTTCAATTTCCCCACCATTTCTAAAATGGGAGAAATACTTATCCACCTTTGTAAAGGACTGTGAGATCTTCAGATGAACATAGTATATAAGTGCAAAACATATTAATGAGTATTATTCTAGACAAGTGGAGGGCATGAAAAGTAGAGCTGGAAGAGAGACAAAGTCTGTGATGTCAGCTACATAGTTGCAGGGGACTAAGTATGTGCAAGGTTTTAAAAGTAAGGTCAGTGTTGAACAGGATACCAAAATGAATGTCGAGCTAGTGGCATTGTGTGAGAATGGGAGTGATGAGTTCGTGCTTCTTTGAGCATGTGAGAAGGCAGGCAGCAGTTTTCTGTGAATTTTGGAATCTGGAAAGCTGGGATTTGCAGGCCCTACAGAAGGGAATTGCAGTAGTTGTGCTGAGAAGAGATGAAGACATTGTTTGATTTTTGTAGAAAATATTTACATTCTTCATGCTAAATCAGCATAAAACTAACACATGCACAGAAATCTTTTAAACAATAGAACCATTTTTGCCTGATCCTGCACACCTGGCAAAACTCTGATTTCTAACAGCAGCAAACAGACAATGTGGCAATTTTCAGTGGCTGTAGTAATTCTTAATTATATTTAACAACAATTTCATAAATAATTGGTGATCTACATTGTAGAACTAAAGAAGGAATCATGGAAGCTGTTCCATACCCCTAATGTATATTTTCCAGGTCTAATATATCTTTTTTTAGATGAGGTGACCAGAATGACACACAGCATTCAAGGTGTGGGCATACCAGGAATTTATATAATGGCAATATGATATTTTCCGTCTTCTTATCTATCTCTTTCTTAATGGTTCTTAACATTCTGTTAGCTTTTTTGACTGTTGCTCCACTCTGGATGTTTTCAGAGAACTATCCACAATGACTCCAAGATCTCTTTCTTGAGTGGCAACAGCTTAATTTAGACCCCATCATTTTGTATGTATACATAATTTGGGATTATGCTTTTCAATGTGCATTACTTTGCATTTATCAACATTAAATTTAATCTGCCATTTTGTTGCCCAGTCACCTAATTTTGTTAGCTTTGGACTTAACTATCTTGAGTAATTTTGTATCATCTGCAAACTTCGCCACCTCACTGTTTATCCCTTTTTCCAGATCATTTATGAATATGTTGAATAGCACTTGTTCCAGCACAGATCCTTGGTGGACCCCACTATTCACTTCTCTCAATGATGAAAACTCACCATATTCTCATTATTCTAACCCTTTGTCTCCTATCTTTTCACTGCTGCACTGTTTCACAGTAAATCTATATTTATGGTTCAAATAATTCATCCTAAACAAGTCTTACTTGAGGGTGTGTGCACATGGTAATTATTTTAGGAAGATTTTGTAGTTTCTGGGAAAAGAATTTTGATAAGGTTATCAACTAAAGCCCGAAAACCAAAAAATAACACAAAGTAGTCAAGTACCCCTGCTAAGTGAATTCAGTAATCCAATAAGGTGTATAGTGATCCTTTTTCAATAAGGATGGAAAGATTCTATAATAATCTTTCCTTTCTCTAGCACCTTTTATCACAAGGTATTCCAAAGGACTACATAACCTTAGGCAGGATGTTCTTCCCAGTAAGCCATAGGCTGGTGACTCAGGAGCTCTGGGTTCCATTCCTAGCTCTGCCACAGGCTTCCTTAGAAAAATTCACTTCACTTCCCTACTTCCTCATCTGCAAAATGGGAATAACAGTGTTTATCTGCCTCAAATGGGTATTTGTAAAATCCTTGAAATCCTTGGGGAGAAGAACTATGTAATCAGCAAATAATATTTTACATTCATAGACGGAGCTGGCAGTCACACCTATAGTTTAGCTTGCCTAACATTCTCCTATTGAAACTTACCTATAAGGAGCACTTTGATGATCCCCTGAAATGTAGCTCCCTCTGGGATGGAATTCAGTGGCACACAGTAACACTACCCAACATCTGAGGACAGGAACTGGAAAATGACACACCTAGCTAAATCTTTAGGGGAATGTAGGCAGGCACTAGACAGCATGACGTTGGCATTAGTGTGTGGTAGCAGAGTTACCAGCATGATACCTGAGGGCACTGTATTGTAGAAATTAGTTTATCTTGGATGAAACAAATATACTTGTCTTAGTTAAAGATCCCATGGCATTTCCCCCAAGAAATAAGGTTAACATTGATATCCTGCATAATTCATAGATTCATAGATCTATTCTATTAATTACATACTGCCTACAAGTCAGTGGGAACTGCAGGTGCACAGCAGGTCTGAAAATCAGGCCCTAGGTGTCCAAGGTGAGGCATCCTAAAGTTAGCGGGCACTTTTGAAAACAATTGGCCTGATTCATCAGCTCCACTTCCTGGAGCACCTAAGTATTTCTTAGGGGTCTGCCATCCATTCTCATGGAGTCTTGGAAAATGGGAACCTTTCTATAGATAGACCCTATCAATATTCTCTATTTTAATGGTTAAAAAGTCTACACAAAAGGTTTTAATTCCATATGGCTTTTTTTAGAATAATTTCTATACAAACTTACTGGTTTCATCCCTGTTGAATTGTACAGGTCTTTTCCATAAGAGACTGAGGCCTTGTCATTCTGAGGTTTTATGAACTGGTGTAGATACACCAATATAGCTACACTAATACAAGCCCTCAGTGTAGAAGTATTGCACCGGCATAAACTGTGATTTGCACCTGATTTGAAACTTGTTCAGTTGCACCAGAGCAGCTAGAACAGCATAGTCGCACTGGTGTCTAAAACCCCAGTGCAGAAAGTGAGCTGGTTTGGGATTACCATGTAATTAGTCAGTATTTTATATGACAAGGAATCTGTGCTTACTTGCATTAGGTAATCTGTGCATTACCTGCACTATTTTCACCAGCTCCTACTGCGTTAAGATAATAAATGCAACTCGGGAGACCTGCATTCATAGTAAAGTTTCGAAACTGTATTAAGTCAATGTTCAGTTGTAAACTTTTGAAAGAACAACTATAATGTTTTGTTCAGTTATGAACAACTTCCATTCCCGAGGTGTTCGTAACTCTGAGGTTCTACCGTAAGTGCAAAGTATTATTAAACCATCTTTCTGCTGCTTATTCTTCAATCTTGCTTTTGCAACATTATTGATTCACGAATGTATTTTGAATCTGGGGACTGCATGATTTTCACAAACATCTGAAATTGTTTGCTTATGACTATTTCATTGATATCAGAAATAGAAGACCAAAAGTATGATGCTGTTGCCTGAAGCCTGTATTTTGTATTTCAAAAGGAATAACTTAACTAGAGTTGAAACTGTCTGTGTAGATAAAATACCTGATTCTGCCTTCATGTTGTATATGACATTAATACCACATTTGTCTCCCTGTAGTAAATTAGTCTGAATATATAAAAATAAAATTTGTTTTGTTCTTTCTTTCCCTTTTTAACATTAGATCTGGGAGAGCATTGGAACATTGGATTGTTATTGGTTGGAACTCATGCAAAGGTTCAGACATCAGAAAGGCTGTATATAACCTGGGCAGTTGCTGAGTCACTTTCTGTAGCTGATGAAGTGCCCTCCTACGCTAAAGCACTTTCTTTTACAGCTAAAGTGAGCGAGTGACAACTTAATTAGTGCACGAGGAAGAGAGGTGGGTGTTTCGTGAGTCAGTAAAACTTTGTTTTCTGCTTCACTATTGTATAAGGGGTTGAATATGGATTCAATTTCCCAGTTCCTCACCTACTTAATTAATTCAAGTTTATTATACTAATGCCTTGCACTTCCATAGCATCTTCCATCCAAGCACCTCAAAGACTTTATGAAAAATAATGATGCAACTCCCTCCTCCCCTTCACCATCACCATCAGATAGATGGCATTAGCATCATTTTACAGGTGGGAAAAGTGAGACATAGTGAGGTTAATAATTTGCCAAATGTGTTAGCAAGTCAATGCAGAACCAAGACTAGAACCCAGCTCTCTTGATTGACAGCCCTGTGTCTTAACTACTACACAATGCTCCCTTGCTTGGAGTAGGAACACTTCTGCTATGGTATTTAGAAAGGGACGATTTGGGCCTCCACTGTTTTCCAAATCAGGCTACATTTCTATTCATGGGCCAGAAATCCTGAAGCCTTTACTCAGGACTAAATCCTGGCTCCCTGTGCAAAACAGGAGTAAACAATCCGCACATTGGCTCTGCACAAGGGTTGTTGGTGTGTGCTGCAGGGGTCAGAAGCCTTTCCCATGGGTCACAAGGCACCAGTGAAGCTGCTACATGACCACTATGGAACCCTCAGGATGACAGTAGCATTGGTAGCTTCCTCACTCTCTTGCCATGGTGAATTTTAGCCAGTGAATCAGTGTGGCATGAATTTGTGCCATTGGATCCATGGGCCATGCCTCCTCTCCTGCTCTTGTAATTCCCCTGTGAAGAGGCATGTAAAAAGCTTCCATGGAGCAGTGCGTCACTGTGACTCTCCTTTAAGGCTTTCTGTAGCTCTTTTAGGGTACGTCTACATTGCAATCAGGAGATAGGATTGCAGCAGGTGCAGACATTGGATACTAGATCAAAGCCAGCTTGAGTCACAACAGCAATAAAGCTTCAGCAGCATGGGCCACAAATAATCCAGAAGACAAAGCAATCTGCTTTCACTGGGAAACCCTTTTAGAAAAGGGCAGACATGGAATCCTAGAACAGTATTGTATTCCACATACTTGCAGCATCTTTCATTTTGCATTTGAACCATGCAATCATCTCTGAAAGCGAACATGAATGAATTTAAAAGCAGCCATTGTCAGCAGTAAAAGCAGCTCATTTCATTGCCTGGGAACAACGTTGTTTACAGCTTCTTACTATGGTTACTTACTGAGCTAGTAAGTGTTTTAAAGGAGGCATTATACTTTTCTTTTCAAAATACACCCTCACCCCCTCAGCAATTCATTGTATTACAAACAGCCTTAGTTTACTGTTAATGTTACAGAATTTAATGTTCAAACATGTACTTGTCAGTGGCTTCAGAATTCTTTCTTTATTAAAGAGTATGTACTTACTGCATATGATTCTTGAAACACTGCCGTACCCTAACCTCTTTGTGATGCTTGGTGATTGCTGAATGCTGAGCACAGCCAGGCATTATCTCTATTTGTCTTTGTGAGCTTAATGTGGGTGAAATAGCTAGGATTTAGGCAGCCCGAAAAGTCTTCTATTTTTCCATGGAACAGCCGCAGGTACAATGTGGGAGAAAGCAGTGCAGCCCTTCCCACCCTGCCCTGTCAATGTTCATCAGCTGTGACCTGATAGGAGCAGCTCACAGGAGAAGAAGGTAATCCAGCGTCTGGGCCTATTCAATCCTTGGCCTCACTACTGGGATTGCCAACAAGTGCGGCAAATAATGCCAACTGTTGTAGTGGGTTCTCTGATGGATGCTTGTCGTCTGTTGCTTGCTATCTGGGATTGCCAACTCATTTCATGTTGGCCACCATATGCTCCAATGCTAATGCATTTCAGACACAAGCTGTATTCCCTCGAGGCAGCTCTAGAGAGAAAGGGTTTGGTAGTGTGTCTTATTAAATGCCTGATCTGTCTAGTTCCCTAAATTTCAGGTTAATGCACATGGAGTAAAAGTAAAATAACACAGTATGGATAAAGGGATGAAGAGACCATGAAAACCCAAGGTAAAAACGAATTTTAAGAGATCACGAGTGTTGTCCTGTTACCAGGAATTAGTATAAACTTGTGCATTATGAACAATATAAATAGTTCAAGGATCATAGTTCTTCATGGTGACCCCCCACTCCCTTCTAACAAGCATCTAAACATTTTGTACACTAAGCCCAAAGGGATATTTACCTCTCAGTGGCTAGTCTGCCCAACAGGGGTTCTAACCAGCCTGTGTGACACTCACAGTGGGAGTCCATGAAGACCAGCACATCCCCAGTTGCCCGTGCAGCTCCCAACATACGACCCCGGATGACCCCGAGCCTCTTGTTGCTCCTGATCAATTTCACACCATCCAGCTTGGAGATGTATTCACTCAGGGTTGACTTCAGATGCCCTGCAATAAATATAATAATCATTCAGATTTTAGCGCTGATTCAATCTGTCACTCAAAAAAACAAAAACAAAAAAAAACCACCCTGTTTGTGGCAAAAATGGTACTCCCCAGCTAGAAAAATGATTTCTGGGCTAGCTTTGCATTCGTCCTTCTCAGCCATGCAGGGAGTAAAGGAGAGCAAAGCCTCATCTCCAACTCCTATTTAGCTATGTCAGACCTTTCTAACTTTTTTTTTTTTTTTTTTTATTTAGAACTGGAAGGGACCTTGAAAGGTCATCAAGTCCAGCCCCCTGCCTTCACTAGCAGGACCAAGTACTGATTTTGCCCCAGATCCCCAAGCGGCCCCCTCAAGGATTGAACTCACAACCCTGGGTTTAGCAGGCCAATGCTCAAACCACTGAGCCATCCCTCCCCCCAAGGGACCATTATTCAGCACCTTGCAGTTCTGGGCATGGGGGCTGTCCTGTGCCACCCCTTCCTTCCCCCCTCGCCCCTCGCTGCTGTGAGGAAATTGGGTAGGGAACGATGGAACCATAGTTTTGCCTCCCCACAAGTCAGCCCGGGGAACTAGCTGGGCATACTGGAAGGCGTGTGCAGGCCCCTGGAAAGGAGTGCAGTACACGTGACATCATTGTGAAAGGGGAGAGTGGGAAGGAATGGTGACTTTCTCAGTCACAGTTCTTCTTGAGGCTACTCCTTGGGCAGTGAATCTTAACCACCAACTTATATGCTAAGGGCACAGTCTAGCACTTTATTTTTAATGTGGTGTTGGATTAAAAACAGAAGCAAAATGAAGTGAATTTAGAACTTGTAACAGATGCTGGACTAACACAGTTGTGGAGACTGAAGTCCTCTGTTTTCAATAGGGACAAGCCAGGAGTAATGTGACCTTCCCTTACATTTCCCTACTTATGTGTCCTTCAATTATAGACTGGAAGAGCAAATTCTGAGGTGAGAGTATAATGTGTGTGCTAACAGTGAAGAATCCATGTTGCCCCGGAAGCAATCTATGGAAGAAGACCTCCGTGCACGCAGAAGGGTGCTGCCCAATGTTATCAGAAACGATGCATGGGGAGGGGGGGGAGAAACACGGGTCACATGCCCCCCAGATTTGTTACTTGGCTTGTACTGAGCATGTTCACATGGACTGAGCTTGCTCAGTAACATTTGCTAAAGCCACTGCTCTCCCTCTGCCCGCCCCACTGTCAGCAAGTACAGGTCATCTCTGAGTGTTCATGAATCATAGACTTTAAGGTCAGAAGGGACCATTATGATCATCTAGTCTGACCTCCTGCACAATGCAGGCCACAGAATCTCATCCACCCACTCCTGTATCAAACCTGTGTCTGAGCCAATGAAGTCCTCAAATCATGGTTTAAAGACTTCAAGGTGAAGAGAATCCTCCAGCAAGTGACACGTGCCCCGTGCTGCAGAGGAAGGCGAAAACCCCCCAGGGCCTCTGCCAATCTGCCCTGGAGGAAAATCCCTTCCTGACCCCAAATATGGCAATCAGTTAAATCATGAGCATGTGGGCAAGACTCACCAGCCAGACACCCAGGAAAGAATTATCTGTAGTAACTCAGATCCCACCCTATCTAGTGTCCCATCACAGGCCATTGGGCATATTTACCCCTAATAGTCAAAGATCAATTAATTGCCAAAATTAGGCTATCCCATCATACCATCCCTTCCATTAACTTATCAAGCTTAGTCTTGAAGCCAGATATGTCTTTTGCCTCCACTGCTTCCCTTGGAAAGCTATTCCAGAACTTCACTCCTCTGATGGTTAGAAACCGTCATCTAATTTCAAGTCTAAACTTCCTGATGGCCAGTTTATATCTATTTGTTCTTGTGTCCACATTGGTACTGAGCTTAAATAATTTCTCTCCCTCCCTGGTATTTATTCCTCTGATATATTTATAGAGAGCAATCATATCTCCCCTCAGCCCTCTTTTGATTACCACCAGCTTTCCCAAATTATCACAAGTCTAATGACATTTGCTCTTTTTCTTAAAGTTGCAGCTCCTGGAATTCTGTAAGAATCTCAGCTTTCATTGGGAAAAAATTGTTCTGCATTTGGAAAGAAGCTGGATGATGCACTTTGTGTCACATGAGGATGAGGCAGTACTTTCCACTCCATTGGTAACGAAGGAGTCTTTAAGCAGCATCTACTAGGGATAAACATCTTTAAATCAGCAGGCCCAGATTACTTGCACCCCAGGGATTTTAAAAAAGCCGATTGAGGAGATCTTTGGGCCACTAATATTAGTTTTTAATAAATCTTGGATTAATGGGAAAATTCCAAAAGACTGGAAGAATGCTACGGTTGTGCCAATATTCAGAAATGGCAAATAAGATGACTTGGTTAACTATAGGACAGTTAGCCTGATATCAGTCCTAGGAAAAATAATGGAAAAGCTGATTGTCCTTAATCATATTCCCATCCCTTATTAATCAACATGGTTTTATGGAAAATAGGTCCTGTCAAACTAACTTGAGTTCATTCTTTGAGATTATAAATTAGGTTGATAATGGCAACTGCATGGATGTAATATACTTAGACTTTTGTAAAGTGTTTGACTTAGTACCACATGCCATTTTCATTTAAAAAATTAGCACTATCCAATATTTAAAAAGCACACATTAAATGGATTGAGAACTGGCTAACTGAGACATTTCAAAAAGTAGTTTTAAATGGGGAATCATCATCAAATTGGGGTGATTTCAGTGGAGAGATTAGTTTGAGGTCCACCATTATTCAGCACCTTTATCACGGATCTGAAAGTAAATATAAAATCACCGGTGATTAAAATGTGTGGTTGACACAAAGATTGGTGGAGTGGGACGTAATGACTAGGACAGGGCAGTCATGCAGAGCAATCTGTTTGGTGAACTGTGTTTAAAAATAAAGACTTTAAAACTATTGGAAATGACAGGGAAAAAATAAACACTTTCAAACTTAGGTTGAAGCTGAATTTTAGGGGAGGAAAAGTAAAATTTGGCAACCAGTTTTCTCTATATTTAGCTTGATTTTGGAGGGTCCTTGTAGTTCCATTCTCCCCAGCCCTGCCATGCAGTATTACAACTTCCTTCCAAGAGCTTGAAAATAGAATTTAGGGAGAGCAAAAGGGAGCTACCTTGTTGACTGAGGTCATCGACAAGGATAATTTCCTTCAGAGAGGCCCTTGGGGCTGTGTCCATAACACTGTGCACAGTTCTCAAGAGAGTAGACCAGGCTTCATCGTGGAAACAGATGATGACACTAGCAGTAGGAAGGTTGGGGTCATAGTCCTGTTGCAGACAGCTGTATACGATAGAATGAGAGCGGCACAATATGGAAAGTTGCATCACTTTTTTTTGTTTACTTATTATTATGAACACATCCATTTCTCTGAGGCTGAAAGTCACAATCTATCCTTACTTCATTGCAGACAGCTCAAAATCTTTGCTCAGGGTGAAGTGATGGTTAAAAAGGCAAACTAAATGTTAGGATGTCTAATGAATGGGATAGAGAATAACAGTGAAAATATTATAATGGCATTATGGAAAATAATAGTTTGCCCTCACCTGGAACATTGTGCTTGGTCATCCTACTTTGAAAAAGACAGAGCTGAAATAGAAAGGGTCCAGACAGACAAAGAGGATTGGAAGCATGGAAAGACTTTAATGATTTAAAGATGCGGCAAATAAGGACTAAGATAGAAATTAATTAATTAATGCTATAGAGGAGATCAGTCTGGTGCAAGAACAAGGAACAGCCAAAGAAATTGAAAAGCAACAACTTTTAAATGGATACTGCTAACTTACACAATGCATAATAAGCCTGTGTAACTCATTGCCACATGATATTATTGAAACTTAGTATGATCAAAGAAAGATCAAAGAAAGATCAGATGTTTATATGTATAATGAAAACATTTATAGTTACATTACATAGGTTTAATATATATTATTTTCTAAAAAGGGTATAAATTCCAAAAGGGCTATGCTTCAGTGCATAAGCTATCCATTGATGGATGGGGGTTAAGCAGAAACTCCCTGAGTGGGCAGGTTTCCATAATTGTCTACTTCAAGATTTCTTGCTCCTTCCTTTCAGGTTTTTGGTACTGGCCAGTTTCGGAGACAGGATTTCTGACCTAGGCTCACTGTTCTGATCTGGTGTGGCATTCCCACATGGGGTTACATGGGATATATTCCTGATGCCATTGAAGTTAATGGGAGTTTTGCCATTGACTTCAATGAGGCCAGAATTTCACTCATGGAAGTCACACATCTAGCATTACAGTTAGTGGGAATTAGGTGGCTACATCCTCACACAACACTGAGTATTTAGGGACCACAAACATTTTAATGGACGCTTATGAGGCATTGAACACATTTCCAAGAATGGATGCAACATGTGGCTGGACAAAAGTACTCATGCATCCATTGCACACACAAGCTGATTTTGTCTCATAGAAAGTGGATGATTACACACACTAACTGGTAGCAACATAGTTATCCAACATGGGTTCACAAATACATATTTTACAGATAGTGTGTGTCTGCATGCATTTTGCATGTGCACTTGTTTTACCTAAGTGTGAAAAATTGGCCTAAAATATTCAGTTTTCCATGTAGACTCCCTTTAATCTGTCTAGCTAATTTAATCTCTAATAGAAAGAAATCCTCAGTGGAAGCACCACAGCATTACATAAAGATTATATGGAAATTATATAGTTCTATTGCTCTGCAAACTACTCAAGGCCAATTGTTGGGCCAAATTAATCTATGGTGTAACTTCATTAAAGGAAATGAGATCAATCTGGCCCAGGTTTTTTTTTAAATATCTTTGTGTTGTCACTTAAGACAGGAGAAAAGGGATAAACCCAGTGTCTTGAAGGGGGAAATTTGTGTTTCCAAGCAGAAGTATCTGATTTAACAATTGTATCCAGAGACAGGGAAGGGAAAGCAAGAAACTGATGCAGCCTCTGAACCACGAGCAACAAATACTGCCATAACCAACTGTGGATTTTTGCCACAATCCCATAATGCTTTGCAACTAGTAGTGTTGTCATGGCAAGAAAGTTGATACTATTTTGGGGGGTGTTGATTGGAAAAGGATTGAAAGTGACTGCTCTAGACTATGAAGCCTAGCTGATGCGGCATTCAGTTGCCATGGTGATTGGCAAGGAATAAAAATACAGATAATTAGTCTTCAGTTAAATGAGAGGGGCTGTTGGCACATGAAACTCCTTTTCTATACTTTGGGGCAGCTGCACAGACTATCAAGAAGAGGCCCATGACAGGCTGATCATTTCAAACAAGTAAAGGTCATGACTGATAAGGGACAGAGGGGTCTAATCTTACCGGTGAACAATACTGAATTGTGGTCAACACTACAAGAATTCAGACAAGGCAAAGGCACTGCCAAAGGAGACTCCTGCTCGGCTCCAGAAAAATGTCTTATTGAGATTCAATTCCCAGCAGCACTTCAATGGGAGCTGTAGTTTTGTGAGGTAATTTAAAACCTTTTAGACATTTTGTATGTTTGCATTTGTCTGGGTACATAATATTTGACATTTAATCCCAAGAGAGAAGAACCGTGGTTTGTGGACAAGGCCTTGTCATAAAGTAAAGATGACAGGCTTGACTCACCCCCACTGTCCAGGGGGATGCTAACTGCACCTGGGCAAGCTGAAAGCAGGTGTTCTCAAAGGTGGCAAATACACCCCTGGGGGATGATAATGGAAGGGTGTTGAGCATTTGTACCTTCAGGATCCTGGTAAACGAGAATAGCATTAAAGTACAATTGGCCCCATTAGTGGAGGATTCCCAGGTGTTAGTCGTGGTCACCTGGCCATGTTCTCTCCCCAGCCAGAAAAGTAAATGGGATTACATGAGGTATGATTTTGTTCTATTAATAAGTTTTAGTGAGAGGGTGGAGCTCATGTTGGCAGAGATCCAGGACTTCTATTCATACATGTTTTGAAAAGTACCACCTGCTTACCCACATCCACCAGGGATAAGCAGGAAAGACAGTTGTAGGGAGCAATGCTTGATGTGTAAGGTTGTGGGGTGTGGCTGCAGAGGTCAAAGGGGCCACCCTCCACATTGGATGGTCGGGTCCAGGACTTTATGGACAGCACATGAGTGGCAGGCTGCAGTGAACAGCAGGCACTGATTTCTGTTGTGTGTGAGCTATGTAATCTTTAAATAAAAAGAATTTAGTTGTTCCAGTGCACTGTTTTAATGCAAAGGACAATGCTATGGTTTGCTGTCAGCTCTAAGGGACAGCACTTCTAAGAGTATGTTCTATGACAAACTCCATATATCTTAATGCTGACTTATTAGTAGATGAAATATATAGAAGTGGGGTTTCATCATTATTATTTTGCAGCATGCCGGTATGTGTTCAGTGCCTCACAATAAGTAGGTATGGTCCCTACCACAACAGTTTACCACCTAACTTCAGACAGGCTGCAACAAAGGGGGATGTTATAGAAATAACTCTCTGGAATACTTCTAGCTGGTTTTGGTTGGGTAATTATAGAGGGCCTGATTCACCCCTGCATTGCTGTAGTTCTCCTCTAATGTAACTCAGCTGAAATAAAAACAAATTAAAGATAATGTATATCAAACACTGTTAGCAAATATGGAAAACATCCCCCAAGTCTTGAAGTTTGTCTCTTCAAACATGGACCGCCATTTGTCTCTAGCCATGAGAAAATGACCACTGCAAAAGATGTTATGTGAAACCCGTTGCTTGCGTAGGGCCAGATCATGTCTTTTTGGCACGCTGCACTACTCAAAGGGGATGCATCAGAGACAGTCTGCCTCAGAAAGGCAGGATCCCTCTTAGAGCTCCCCCATTGCTCCGGGGAGCATGGAAGCTGCTATATCCCTCTAGGACTTGCTACATAACCCATCTCACGTGGCTAGGCAGATCAGAGGGGGGCAGACCCATGGCTCTACCTGCTTTCTCTCCCTTCCCCCACCACATTCCGGAGTCTCACCCCCCAGATGATAATGGGAGTAGGAGTGAGTTCTGGAGCTGCTATTCTGCCTTAAGGAATCCATGCAGGAAGGGGGCTTGATGCTTTCTCTGTCCTCCACTACCTACTTGGCTAGGTACCAGGTAGAACCTCACTCATCAAGACCAACTGATGCACAGACTAACCACCAGTGAACTTTTCACTAGATCTTCTTAGCAGGCCATAGCCCTGTAATTTACCCGGTGCCTCAGTTCCCCCATGTGTAAAATGGGAATAGTCCTTCCCTACCTCTCAGGGGTTTTGTGAGATAGAATTAATTAATGACTGGAAAGTATTCAGATACTATGTGGATGAGGGTTATATGAATACCACAACATAAAGAGGAGAGTTTACAATCTAAACAAACAAGACGAAGTGTAGGAGGCCCAGAGATTTTCTGTTATTCTCTGCCCTTTCCCCAATGTTAGTGGTATCATCAGCTCCTGCAGGGAATACACAAAACCATCCACTTGAGAATACATAATATAATAGAAAATAATGTTATCGCTTTACTAACTGAGTGGCAATGGACACCCAACAGATCAACACTTTTATACCCCTTTGGACATGCATCAAATGCCCTGGCAAGTTCACATCAAATGCACTACAAAATATTCAGCAGTCAGGGAGCTAAGTCATTTTAGACCAAGATTCTGCCCATGGTGACACCCAAGCAAGCCCACAATAACTATACACAGGGGTAACTCAGTGCTGAATTTGGCCCAAGTTGTTTTGCTTATTTCAGTCCCAAGCAGTCAGTGGTCTCGCAAGTGAAACTCAGAACAGAATCTGGGCCATTGCCTACATATGAAGCACTCTGAGAACAAAGGACGACATCAGCTGAATATTATACAATAAATAAATAAGTTTAAGTATATGTGATTATTTAACAAAAGACACCTAAACAAGCATAAATAAGGCCCTTATATTGGCATCTTATGGCTAGCACAATTCATCTGTGTGGCTTGCCTTCACAACAGACCAATTAGCCCCCTAGTTCTCACACTCCAACAGATGGCTAAATAGCACTGACTGGCCCTGGTACCTGTTAAATAAAGCAGACAACTGCAACATTTTTCCATTCTGATACGTGCCAGCAGAGGCCGCCATACTCCTCATTAAATGAGCAGGCTAATAAATAAGTGCGCTCACAGGTTGAAAAGTCAGAACTTGTTGGCTACCTGGGTGAAGTAGGATGATTGCCTCTGCCAGTGAAAGTGAAAGGGCAGGAGTGGTACATAAACAAGGCGCAAAAGAGTTTTACAATAACGTAGCCTTGTACACTAATTCATTGTACACTTGTTCGTCCCCCTCTGCTGGGACTGGAACACCCAGAGTGACTGGTACATTAGTCCAATACAAGATATTATCTCACCCACCTTGTCTCTCTGGTACATTGCAGTCATTCTTCTTTCCATCCCCTCACCCCCCACTAGTTTCTATAACTCCCTATAGTTCTTTTACCGGACACACAATTCTCAAGCCCCCCCCCCCCCCCCAAAGTCACTTGGTGTTTTCGACTTGAGTCTGAGAGTATTGTTTTAAGAAAACAATTATAGTATTTAAGAAAGGTAGAAAATGGGACAAGTGTCTCTCATGGCTCCTGTTATAGCATTTGCTGTGCTCTCAATATCCCCAGGGGATGATATAATGGAATGAAAGCTGTTGTACTCTAAGTTATTTAACGAGATGGAAGAGGAGTGTGCTTTGTCTAACTAGGATGAGTCTTGCTAGTTTAAGCTCCAATTTCTGATCCATGTTTTAGGGTCCCAGCTTGTAGCATGGAGTTTGGGAAAGGGACACGGATTTGGGGGAACAGATACATTTCCTTTTGGGGAGGAGGGCTGGTTGCTCCAATTGAGGGAGATGATGTGATAGAAAGGGGACAGGTTTCTCAGGGGTCAAGGGAAAGGTTTTTTAGAGGGACAATTGGGAGGGGTCAGGTTTCTCACAGGAAATAATTAGGATGTTTTACTTACAAAGGATGCCGCACCTCAGGCAGCTCCCTGCGCAGAGAAATCCGCTCACTGAGCGCTTCATTAAAGCCATGAGTTTCCAGGCCAAGGATTGCCAATTGCTCACCCCCAGCAGCCTCTTCTGCATTCTGCAGGGGAAAGGACATGAGCTGGGACTCTTGGTTTCCCCTTGGCTTGACATCAGTCTTTTCTTCCTGCCTTTTGCTCTGCTGCTTCACCATTCGGTATCCTTTTCTAGCCTTGCTGTGGTTTCTCCTGGCTGTGGGTGACACAATGGCCACTAGCAGCTCGTCCTCCCGGAGGGAAATGAAAGGGGATAACCCCACCATGGGGTAGTACTGCTGGCTCTCCTCCTGAGTCTCCAACATTTCTTGGGTTTCCGGAAAGTCCAGCTGATACCCTTCTCTGGGACTGAACTTTAATGGCTGGGATGTCCCCTCTTTGCTCAGGTCCCGGAATGGTGGATTCAGGATTGTAACCATCAGTAACAAAAAACCCAGCATCAGCAACAACAAGAGAAACTGAAGCTTACGTGATCCATATCTGCACCTCTTCTTCACGAGCATACTGTTGGTGACAAAACAATACAGAAGGTCATGCTAAATATCACTTGGATATTTCTTACAGCCCAGCTCTCTGGTATCTTTGCAGCAAAAAAATGGTCATTGCTGTCTGCTGAGACGGTTCCCCCCTCCCCCTCACATTTCACTGATGTTGTTTCATGCTTTCCCGTATATTTGTAGACAAAATCAAAAATACCTACTTATAAGAGATAACATAGATCCAATTAGATAAAGGAGATCCTTTGTTACACAGAATCCCAGATTGTCTATGAACTAATGTATTTAGTTGACCAAAAAGCTCATTAAAAGGTGGTTGAAGTTTTGATTTTCGTTTTTAATTCTGAGAAAAAGTAAAAATAAATTCCATTTTTTATAGTTTCCTTCCAGAATATTTCCTGCCACTGCAAAGTTTCCAATTGCTGTCTGGGCTGGAGTGATATTATCTTTGCAAGCAGATCTGACAGCTTCCCCTGTTTTGACGCTTCAAGTTAACTGTGATCAACAGATGAGAACTAGTCAGTCCCTGACTTTCTTTCACACATAACTATAGCACTCAGTCAAGGAACCCTTTGCCAGACATAATACAAAGCAATGTGTGTGTCTTTCTCTTGGTCCTAATGCCCTCACTGTTCTTGTCCTATCAAATCAAAACTTTGCATGGAACTGTTAGAGGTGCACTAGAAGGAGGCAAATGCTGTTTTGGAAAACAAATCAAGAAGCACACATGATTCTAGTTTAGAATATCCTTATTAAGCGGGGAATATCCTGTATAATAAAATGAATTGAACAAAGGGTTGAATGTACATGATATATTGAATGCTAAATGTGTTTGCATAATAACATCTTGACTCTGGAATATATAGGTATTTTTATTTGTAATAAATATTTTTGTCTTTAGTCATTTTAGTGCTGGCAAAATGTACTGAATTATCAAACCTGGAGGCTG